TTACCACAGGCACGATGAGTGAAATGTTAACATTTATATACTTCCTATTTGCGTCAAGTACAATCTCGCTGGTATTGCTAATAAGTTTACTCTCTGAAATATGCAATATCGACGTCACATGACAACTGATCCTTGTGAATTCTTCGTCTTTACTCTGCGTTGCCTCGAGAAATATTGTAACAAAGATGCTCCAGGCGTTATTCTCTTTACGTATATCAGCCGTAATGTCATTAATCAATATATCGTTTACGGGAATCAATTCAACATCTCTCCTGTAATTTTCTCATGTTATAGCAGTAAAAATATAGACGATAGAAGACAACTGTAAGATAATTTATTGCTTATTACCATATGCCAATTGAGGGAAAAGCAGGTCCCCAATCCCATGAAAAACTGGCTTGCATTTTACGAATGTGATTTATGTGGCATTGTCCATTATAATTTTTAGGTACACACACTGGTGGTACAACGTAATGTTTTTCCTGTTCATTGTATAAATCTTTGGCTACTTTAACAGCCGAGCGAAATGTGACTTTCAGTAGATTCTGTCCCTTCTGCATATCCCGAAGAAACAAACTGTATTAACAACATGTATATTTTATGACGATTTTCTCTTTTATTACCTTGATGAAATCCGTCACGTCAAAAATATATCTTAAGAACATATTTGAAGTCTCTCCAATCACATGATCGTTTAAAGAAACATTGGCAAATGTGTCAATCCCGTGAAAAACCAAAACTATTTTACGAGCTTTTAGAAAATTATCACTCGCTAAAAATAACATGTTTAGGTTGATTTTAATTTTAAACTATTATTTAATATTGTATCTCATATATCCATGTCAAATTAATTTACCACTAAAATTTTTAGTATAAATCACCGATTGATTTCCAACCCAACGATTATTAATATCATTTTTTCCAAACAGATTGTTCTCTATTATATTATTCTTATGTAAGTCTGTATAAATTCCTCCAGGAACAATCCCGCTAAAATTAATATACTCTGTAAAACAGAGTAATTGTTGGATTATTTACGTGAATAGTAAATATTTCTAAGAAAAACTATCTACCAGTTTTAAAAAAAATTAGTTTCTTTTTAAAATTAAAATTTCCTACCATTGTTGCATTTTTCAAAGGGCTTTTTATCTGGAACAAATATTTTTTATTGCAATTTATATTTAATAATAATTTTGTATATATAAATTATATACCTTTATGCATATATCCATATTTATAATATATATATATGTGTATATATATATATATATATATACCTATATATATATATATAGGTCCCGAAATTCGCGAATCAAAATATTATAGCAAGAAAATCTTCAAAAAAATAAAAGTTATTTGTAAATTTTTGTGTTAAGCAGTAGTTTTTGAGTTTAAATTTAACCTGCAATTGTAGATTACAGTTAAATGGAAACTTTTGTGAACTGCAATTATAGATTACGGTTAAACGGAAACTTTTGTAAGCTGATGAGTGAGTAACGCGTCGATAGTGTTAGTAATCGCGCACTTTTTACGCGTGTAGTCTATAATCAATTAAATTTAAACTCTTACATCTCAAAAA